TGAGGAAGAAGAGGAAGAAAGAAGAGGAAGAAAGAAAAAGAAAAAAGAGAAAGGAAGAAGATGGATAGAATTATTTTATTTTATTTTTTAAAAATATAAATAGTAATAATGTGAGTTGGCATGAGCTGTAATGAAAAAAAATTTCACGTCAACACGTTTTTAATTTGTTTTTGCCACATCATCAAAAAAATTATAAAAAATGCCACATAAGCGAGTTAACGGCCCAAATTAACAAAAGGACTAATAGAGTGCATTTCGTATAGTTGAGGGATCAAAAAAATACAAAAAATTGTTAAGGGATAAAAAAATGTGCATTTCATAAAGTTAAGGGACCAAATTTAGTATTTAACCAATAATTTTTAATTTTTTCCTAGTTTTTAAAACAAAATTAATATAAAAGGGGGTAGGTAACTTTTTTTCTTGTTTCCCAAGGAAGATTCGGTCCCCCACCTTATAAGATTCCGCCCTTAAATTATTTGAATTAAAGAAAAAGGAGCAAAATAGACGAAAACCGTCAGGTGTCCGTCAACTCTCCACACGCGGACGTTCCCATCGCAATTTTAGTTGCCACGTGGCAATGAGTGATATCCACCTGTATTTTGCGACCCACATGCATTATTTATTCTTTTTTTTTTCATCTTAGCCCCACTAAGTCCATTAAGAAATCCTACTTGACTTTTCGAATCAACTGGTAATTTATCAATTTGAGATGTATTTTTTTTTTTTATGGGCGAGCTTCGAGTCTGTTCTTTGACAACTTGTTTAAAAATAAAAAAGTACACTAAGAAATCAAATTTTTCTTAGTAAAATTATAAGTTAAACAACAATTAATTTATTTTATTTTTGTATTAAAAATTTAAAAAGAAATTTTATTTTTGCTCATTTTATTTTTAAAAAAATAAAAGAACCTTTTGTATGATATAATAAATAATTAAAATTAACAAATAACATTATATAAAAGTAAAAAAATATTTATTTTTATTAAAATATAAAAATAGCTATTATTCTTTAAAAAAATTTAAATAAAAAATATTTATTATTTTAAAACAAAGAGAGTAGCTTTTTTAATTGTAATACTTTATTTTAAACTCTTTTTTGTTAACAATTTATTTAACTTTCTATAAACAAAGAGTAATGATAGGAACAATGATAAGTAGGCAAAAATTTAAAATTAATGACATAGTATAAGTTATATAATTAAATTAATTAATACATATAATATTATAAGTTTTAAAAAAATTAATGTTTAAATATATAAAGTCCACTTTTTAATATTTTAAATAAAATAATTTATGTCATGTTATTAATTTTAAATTTTAACTTTAAAATTTAGTCTTATTTATAGTTATTCATAACAAACATTTAATTTAACTTTTTCTTTATAATTATTTATCGTGGAAAGATAATGAATTTTATACAGAAGATAGAAAGGGTAACTTAGCCCAATACATTTATATTACAAATATTTTCAATTTGATACGTGTCTGTTAACCTAATATAAACAACCAGAAGCTTAATGTCATGAACAAAAATCATCCCAACCCCTCACTGGCAATGGCAAATCATCAAAAATCTAATATGCATGGCAAAAAAGAATTCTAATCTCCCAGGCTTTATTTCCTCAACACCAAAAAAAAAAAAAAAAAAAAAAGTTGGAGAAGCCAAATTTGAAAATCCCAAGATTTCCCAATCCCTGTTCCCAAATTTGAAGAAGCCATGTGTCTTTAATTAGAAAAAATGACAAAATTCATATCAAACAGAAGTGGCCCCATCATCAACAGCAAAGAAAAGATTTGGGAGGATAGGAAAGAACTAGGTGAGAAAGAGATGAAATAGAAGTGCAGGAGAAAGAGGAAGATGGGTCATGAAAATTTTCCGTTAAATGAACGGTGGCAGTGATGTAGTTGTAATGTATCTTTAATTAGATGATGAGGTGTTTTAATTTAGTGAGTTGTGACAAAAATATAAACTGACATGGTACCCCGTTGTATAAGATTAGACTTTCTCCATAAGGTGGGATGCGCACATGTAAAGGATTCATGGACTCATGACGGGTTCGTCCACCTACTCTCTTTTCATTTTGTCCTTTTTTAATTACGAGTATAGTAATCTAGAGGCTGAAATCTTTGTATTGTAGGGTGAGGTACTGTACTTAGAGATTTATGCCAAGGGAAGCTTCCCAGCTACTGTGGAGTTGTGCTTTCTTTGATTTAAGTAATGAAAAGTACATTGTACTTCACAACGTCACATGTAATCCTCTCCAACCCTATCTTGCCCAAATTATCAATCATCATGCATGCCTATCTAAACTAATTTTTATTGTTTCATTTGTCATTGCTGTACTGCACTTAGCTCAATTGAATTTACTATTTCAAAATTGTTGAATAATATAAAAGTGTTTAAAAAGTTGCGTGCCACTTTTTGAATAAATTGCAAAGTTACAAGATTAGACATTATCACGATTATTAAGGGATACATATGCAAATTAATGGACATAATTAGCCTTAGAGAAGAAATAATCATGTTGCATCCCACGCTTCTCTTGAGTGGAATTGAATGATCTGATTACAAGGAGGTTGAAGAAGAAGAGGGAGTTGGCAAATTCTAGCAACTTTTGAAGACTCTTATAATTAACAAAAAATTGTATTTTATAAGATGAATTGTAAATTAAAAATGTAATCTATCATATAAATTTATTAAAATTATTTTAATAAATTCATAAAGTAGATACTATATTTTTAATATATAGTCTTAACTGTATTATTTAAGTTTTTATAATTAATTGACACTTCTTTCTTTTAATATTAACAACTTTACTGCAAGTATTATTTGTAGTAAAGAAATTTTTATTGTGATATAAATTCTATTCTCTAATTATCAAAATAATGTGTAGGTGATGATGCCATCAAGTTCAGAGACGGACACAATGTGAATGGAAGAAACAAACAAATAGGAAATTAAACACGAAACAATGATAAGGAAGGCCTGGAATAATGTTGCATGTCAAACAAGGTGTCGTGCATTAGTCATGTAGATCTTTCACAAGGAGAAAAGTTAATTTGTTTCAATTCCAAAACAGATGATGATGCACACTGTAGCAAAGCAATTAACAAAGAAATTGAGATGAACTTTGGGTTGCACTAATTACTCATAACAAAGTGAGCAGAAGGCTGAAGAAGGCCTGCCAACCTAGTGATCCAACAACTTAATGTAGGTCGTCTTCACCATAGCAACGGTTTGATCCCTCTCTCCACCTCTCTCCCCCTAAACCATTGGCCCTAATAAAAAAAAAAGAAAGTGAATAGAAGGGTACGGATTCATGTTTAATACTATTATGTGTAGTATTAATATTCCTTATACATTAAATATGTCTTGGTGCTTGCATACATGGGAAGGAATATTAAAATTAAGTACTCATGATGTTTATAGCATACTTTGCAATTATAACATATCGCTAATAAATGTGATATATCATTAAAAAAATTGATATATACAATATTATAAGTAAATTTTAAGTGAAAAAGTTAATTATATAATAACATATTATATTGTAAAATTGTAATACCACATAATATTATAATTATATCATTTTTATAAAAAAATTAAGTCTTATAGACGAATGGTTCATATTCCATGTCTTGAGAGCTTGGTACCCTCAAGTAATGTTTATAAAACTGAATTGAGATCAAATTGTTTTGACCTTCAATTCTTGATTAGAACAATCTATCTAATTTAACTGGTAGAGCTTGATGCCCTCAGGCAATGTTTTTAAAATCGAATCAAGATCAAATTGTTTTGACCTTTTATTCTAGTTTGAATAGTCTAACTAGTAAAACGGCCAATTTGATTAAATTATTATAAATATATTATTATTCATAACATTTTGGATGGAGTGAGATGGCTAAAGTGGTAGAAGTTTGCATTTCCACTTAAGGGCATGTTGGGTTGAGGCTTTCCCTAGAAAAAGAATATGAGGAAGCCGGCCAAAAAATAATTGAACTTAGTTCAGAAAAATAAATTTCTTGACATTAATTTTATTGTAAAAGAGAAGTAAGTGATTATACAAAAGTAATTGATTATATTATTGTTTACACTATAAATTGTAAAAATTTAAGATCATGCCATATGTCAAATATTTTTAAATGGATGGAGTAGATTTTGCCATGTCAAATTTGTTACTCTGGGCTCCATGACAAATCAACTGTCACATTGGCAAAAAAGGGAGATAAAGATAAGATTTTACCCTGTAATTACCTCTTTGAGTCAAAAAGGGATTGTTTTAGTTGAAATATAGGAGGAGACTGCAGTTAAAGAAAGGAGTTATCAGATAAGGACACAGGTGGCGAAAATCTAGAAGGAGATTTGACCAAGTCAACTGTTGAACTGTCCCACTATCTCAAGAAACCACTCACAATTTTGTAGTTGCAAAAAGTGGAAAGTTACAATCGGCAAAAGGAGAACAAAAAGGAAATTTTGGAAGGGAGAACACACAGTTAGGGCCAGCCCTACACAAAACCTACAAATTTTCAGATTTTCAATTTCTCTACAATTGCTCACTATTGTTTATAGATTTCGAATTTCAACACAAATCCCAATAGATTTAAGTTGTTTTCCATCGTTTCAGTAGGCAAATTAGTTCATGTATTCGTTTCAACAATTTTGTTTCATGTAATGAACTTCAATCTTTCAAATTTTCTTCACAGTACTGTTCTTTTTCTGTTTGCAATTAATTTAATGTTCATGATAAGTAGCATTTCTTTAATGATTACTTATATGGCATCCACGCTTCTTCTCAATTTCAAGCATGTTAGTTTAATTCATGTTCAAGTTTGTTTTAGTTTTAATTAGGGTAAAATCTCTAATTCTGCGGTAGTTTAATTTCCAGATCTGTCAGTAGATAGCATTTTAATTTGACAATGAACATGTTGAATTTAATTCAGGTACATCTTGTTCTCATAGATTTATTTTAAATTGCATGCTATTTAATTTAATTAATATTTGTTAACTTTAATTCATAGCATTGTTTAAATCCTTGGAGTTGTCCAAGGCAGATTTTGTAACTCATTCTACAAGAAGGCATCCCTCTCTCTTGTAAATCGTCTGTAGGCGCAAATTTTAATTTTAAACCAATGTTCTTCTTGCCATCCACAAGGAGGTCGACCATAAGGAAAGAGAGGGTCGTTGGGAAAATCTTCATTTTTTATTTTCAGCAAAGTAAGTGGCATATCTGCATCCAGATTTCACAAGTATGAGGCCACTAGAGGAATTTTTGGAAAACAATTACTTTCTTAAAAGAAAATCTCATAAAATAACTTTCTTAGGAAAGTAATGATATAATTAATTACTTTTCTATTATAACCAATTAAAATGTGTCTTGTTTTAAGTATCAAGAAATTTATTTTCCTAAGCCCAACTCAATCATTTTTTGGCTGGCTTCTCAAAATTCCCTTTTTAGGAAAGGCCTCAACCAAACAAACCCTAAGAAGTTACATGTTGGAGTCTCCAAAATCACAGTTAATACTTAATATATTAATATGATTCTACAGTTAAATAAACATATTTTAAAGCATTAAATATTAATGAAATTATTACGTATCAAGTGAAAAAAGTGAAAAGAATCATCATTAGTAGCAGCAATGGCCTGGCATGGTGGGTTCAAATTCACATTTTTTTTAACAGTGAGAAATTGAAAGATAAGAGGAATAGTTACAATAATGCTGCGGTTCCATTGCGGCTAATGCCACAAGTGCGTGGGTTCAAGTTCACTTGAGGTTTTTAAAACATCAAACTTGTATCGTTGAATTTATTTGTGTATTAGAAAGCATAGAAGCAAGCCTTTTTTCTTCAAATGAATATTCAGCCTCTTCAGGAATCGCTTCAACTGGATCTGCCAAGGCAATTGGAGGAGCTGGGATGATAGCGGTCTGCATTGGAACTGACACAGTGGAAGGTGTCGAGGTCACGGTAATTGGCATTGCCTTGGGTGTTCTGTTCTCTTCATCCACTAAAATAGCTGCCTTCGTGGGGATAACACATGATAGATCCTTAATTGGAAGCATTCTCTGCACAGTCTCACCATGGTCTCCTAATATGTCTGTCATATTGGTTTTTGACGATGCTGTGGAAGAGATGGGAGAGAATGGTTGCCGAAGGATCGGTGATTCTGGTTCAGTGACACTTGCAGCATCAGAGTTCCTTTTTATAGAAATATCAGCTACATCCAATCCTTTCCTTACTGCAAAATGGGTGAATAACAAAGCACAGAATTACTGGAGGAACTTCCACATTTCAGCTAGTAATGCCGAACATAAACAGCCTCTTCTATTTCCAGAAAATATTAAGAGATGATAATAACCTTCAATGTATTAACCAAACAAATATACTATGATGAAACATAATTTTTGATATTAATATCTCTAAAAAATCTTACTAGAATATCTGCCTTTTGTCCTTCAAGTAGCTAATTCAGAAATTGTTGTGTGACATTTACCTTAGAAATCAGTTAAGTACTTTTTCTTAGTTACTAGACCTCAAGGTGCGCTTTTGAGAATTTAAAAAAGGATATTAAATTGCTTTTTAATAATTACTAATTTTAGGTATAATAATTCATAAGAAAGTTAAAATGGTAACCATGAAAGAAGATTTAAGAGTACAAATTTTATCTTTTTAACTTTGAAAAATAAAGACAAACTTTTATATAAAAAAGGATATTTAAAATTTTAGATAATGAGTACATTTTCTTGTATATATAAATAGGTAATATAGAATAGGAATATTGATTTTGATGAATAAGATACCAAGTCCTATTCAAGATTGAATTGTAGTAATTAATGAGAAAATATTTTTTATATAATTAAACTTAATTTCCTATTAAGGTTGAATCGTAGAATTGTAGTACTTAAGAAGAATTATTTCCTACTCTATAATTATAGATTGAATTAATTTCCTATTCTATATTAATTTCCTAATTTCTGAGTCCCATACCTCTTATGTCATATTTGAACTAGTCTTTAAATAGGTATTTTGTTAAAAAGCCTATTAGGAATTTATTCAACATTTTTTAAAAACCTATTAAATATTTATTGAGGATTTTTTTAAAGTTCAATGGGTATTTATTTGAGAATTTTAGAGGAAAATATGTTGTTATAGCAATTTTGTATATTGTTAAGATTAAGATTAAGATTAAGATTAAGATTAAGATTAAGATAATATAGGGTCATGGGAAAGAGAGCTTGCCTGCAGATAATGCTGCAAAACCATCATCCTGCAAGTGATTTAAATTGTCAATTGGATGTACTCTGTCAGCTTTCTTACTGGGAGGCGTTTGAGGGGTAGCTGCCGTTGAGGAATTGAGCATATCAGGTTTAGAAGCCTGAGGCATTGCTTCTCCTGCAGAGGCTCCTTTATTGCTTGCACATCCTGTTGAAAATCTGGAAGCCTTTTTAACACTAAGGGCCTTTGAAGGGCTTCCTTTTGATCCATAGAGCACTTCTTGCTCTGCTATTAGCTGTCCCTGAAGTTTCTTCTGGTCCTATAGTAAAGAAACAACAACAATAAACAATGCTCAACAATGCCCATAAATGTGTAGAGTCCAGGTGTAATTACATGGTATTAATCCATACAAAGCTGATAAGGAATAAATTGAAGAAAATGATAAGTTAGTACCCGCAGCCTACGGCGCTCTTGTTCTTTCTCCTGCCTTAACATGGTATATTCCTCGAGCATGAAGAGCAGATGAACCTGGATAATGATGTAAAAATCAAACAGCTTCAGACATTTTGCACAACCATTAGTTATGAAGTGCATTTCAAACACACCATCCAGGGACCTAAATGTTCAAGAAACAAGAGTACTCACACCATCGTATAAGAACTCAAAGCCTCTCTCCTTTTCCCATGCCATGGTCTTGGCTGCCAATGCCTCCACCATTCCTGGGTCATATGATACAAACAACTTAGCTTCAGTTTTAGCAGATGTACTCAAAATAGATGATACAAACACTAGTTTGAACAATTAATAAGGCGAATTACATGATGTGAAACCATGAAATATTGGGCTTGGTTTCATGACATTTCTATCTCTAATTAAGCTTTTATATTTAATGCAGTTTGAACTTCAATAATTAAAGTGAACATACATGATACTACACCATGACTAATCGACCTGACCATGACATTTATATATCTAATTAAAATTTTTGCCTAATGCAGCAAATACCTGGGAGTTTATTAACCAATGCACGGGCTTTCTCAGCACGCTTGAGCATAAGGTGAGTACCTTTCCCTGCATTGTATCTATTCTGATCCTGCAGAACCAAAGTTGATATAGGCAAGTTTAAGCTTATGATGATACAAGCATTCAACAAAAGACGATCATGCAAATGCCAACCCTGTTATAATCCTCAAGCCAGCACTCCTCGTCACAGGCATTTAACCATTTCTCCACCTTCTCGAGTATTTCTTTCCTGCTAAAAGCTTCCTCTTTAACCTTAGCAATTTGGAGTTCAATTTGTTCAAGTATGGTAGATGCGTCCAGAGCTCCTAATCAAGGCAAATGAGGCAAGCACTTCAAAAATATTAGAGAAATAACTACAATTTTGGCCATTCAGTGCAGCTACAATGATATATAGAACATTTAAATTGTACCAGACTCAATGGCATCAATGACATCTTCCAGGGCACTGTCAAACTCAGGAACCAGGTGTGTCTTTCTACAGATCTCCTCTAGCTCTGAACGCTTCTTCAAAACAAGCTCTTTCATTTTGCTTGACTTCAACTCTTCCAACCGAGAAACTTCTGCCTCAACCTGCATGTTGTTTTATAATATGAGGCACATGTAACTTTTGGAAGTTTGTATAACAAACGGCTTAAAAGTGGATAGTTAAAACTGGTTTTTAAACGCCTGTAACTCACATGGTTAATGAATTCCTCTGAGAGAGTATTAGGCTCAATGATCTCATGTTCTGAAGCAGCTATATTACAGGTCACATTTTGAAACATCTGTTGCTCTTCAATAGGTGTATCCATCAAATTCCATAACTCCAACATTGAAGTTGCAAGATCTTGGAGCTGCCAAGATTCAAAAGGGTAGCAATTTCAGTTAAGGGGAAAGATTTTACATCGTAAGAGAGACTAAAATTTATCAGTAACACTTACTCTTTGCATGCTCTGTATCTTAACTAGGCGCAAATTCTTTACTGCTGTAGCCAAATGCCCTATTGTGTCATTACTTATACTCCTTGATCCTTCAGATTCACCTAAACTGGGATGAACCTCAGTAACTGTGAGCTTGAAATCCATACCCAGAACCAAGCAGAGTGAGTTCAATGTATTAAGATGGTCTTGAACCTGCTTTAGCCTATCACTCTGTAGCAGAGAAAGATCAGTTGGTTAGCAATTAGAACTTCTTGACATGTGAACCAGACGAAAAATTAGAGGAAATAACTCAACCTTCTCTTTCTGAAGCGCATGGAGCTGTCTGTGTAATTCTTCAAGCTTTCTTAAGGATAAATCAGTTTCATCAACAACTGTTTTAGAAGAAACAGATTCTGTGGATCCATATATCTCAGTTGTAATCTTCTGTATTTCATCTAAAACTTCAACGAATTGATTTCTTCTGTGCATTTTCCTTTTCCTCATCTCCTCCAGTTGGGAAAAAATTTTCCTGAGCTCCTCCTTCAAGCTTCCGGTATTTTGATCAAACTGGAAACATAGGCTAATAAGTACATAGTTTAGATGTGAATCTAGCTTCCAGCATTTTGATCAGACTGAAAACATAGGCCAATAAATAAATAGTTTAAATGTGAATCTAGATTTCTGAACTTTATATACATACTCAACTCTTAGTTCAGTAAATACCCATCACTATATCAAACCTAACATATCTCAGATATTTAGTGTTTGATGTTAATATGATGCAATGCATTATTGAAGCAATTTTTAAGCGAATCATGATCCTTGTTGTACAAATAAGTAGAAAAGAAATAAACTCTACACAAAAATTTGAAATTATATTAATCCAATCGGATATTGTTTCATTTCATTCCTAACCTGCCTGATAAGCACTGGCCGCTCTCCCATTGCTGAACAGATGCCTGCAAGTTCAGCTTCACAATCAGCAATGGACTGTCTTAGCTGAGCCTTACAGTGATTAGCCTGATCCACTTTTCTTCTGTATACTTCCAAGCATTCTTGTTCAAGATCAAGCACCATTTTCTCCTTATCAGCATCTGTCTCCCCAACTTCATCCCAAATTATCTAATTTTTGCAATAAAAAGAAAGAAAAAATTGAGTTAGTCCTCAAAAGCAGATCAATTTGGAAAATATATGAACTAGGGAAATAAAAGGCAGGAAAAGAAAATAATTCCACATAAGAGAATGTAGGTTTCTCCTATCTCAAGAACTTTTTTTTTTTTGTTGTGATAAGCATCTCAAGAACAATAATAACCTGAAGCTCGCATAGGAGCGTGCCACATGTTGTTTCAGCTTGAAGAATCGGATTGTTTTGCACACTAGACATGTCTCAGTCCGGTGCCTGAAAAAGAAATCCAAAATCATAAGAAATGATATGAGTCAGCTTCAAACACACCTGCCAAAGATGGCATATACTGGTTTCATAAAAGGAGATAATAGCAATTAATTACTATTGCTCAAGCACAATTTCAGCTCAATAAACGGCTGTGTCAAGTAGGATTGTTACAATCCATGTTATTAAATGAGTTGATCTATATGACCTATTGATTCGAGTGGAAGAATCTCGATTCTTTTAAACAAGATCTCAAATACAGAGCCACATATCATAGTGTAAGTTAACAATGTGATATTATAACTATATCATTTTCAATTTTTATAATGCACGCGAATTCAACCCGATTACCTCTAATTAAAACCATAAATCATGCTAACTCTTTTCAAGATATTCAGTAATGTATACATCATGCAAAAAAAAAAAAAAAACAAAAAAGGTCGGAATTGCCAGGGGGTCATTGCAATGAGCTAAATGCGAGAATGAAGCTTAGCCTCCACCGTTTAATTTGAGCTTTTCATGATTTCTATCAGGAATGAAAAAGAAACAAGAAGATTAGATTTTAGAATCGCCCGCGCCGCCGTATTGCTACATTTCCACGGCAGCCAAACACGCGGTGGGAAATTCTAAAACAAAAAATTACAGGAGAAAGATTCATAGACAAACCTGAACAAGAGAATTCGGCGAGGACGGACGTAGTTTTAGGGTCTGAAAGATGTTTTGTTTCCTTAGAAAATGCAGCTTGTGCTAGAAAATGAGAGAATCAAGGAACGCAGAGGGTGAGCATAGTAGGAGGCGTTTTAAGGAAGAAAAAGGGACGGTTGGAGAGCAGTGGTTAAGGATTTTGCTTTTAATCCAGGAGTTTTGGATTCGCTGTTAATATGAAATTCAAATTCCATAAGCGGAGGATCATCATGTGTAACTGGTTAAAGAAAATTGGCGGTAGAGATTTGTTTAAAACGGCATAAGAATTGTACGGATAATAAGCGCAAAGGAAGTATCCGTCCCTTTTGTGGATTTTTTTTTTTTTGGGTGGGAATATAACAGCATGAACCATGGAGAACAATATAAATTTTTTTTTAAAAGTTACATCAATATTTTATGATAATTAATATTATTTCATATAAAATAACTATGAAAAGGTAAGATTGTTTGACAATTTAATATAATTAAGGTAATTCATCGCGTGACTTTCACATTGAATCCATGTGAAAATCACATAATAAATGACTCTGATCTTATCAAGATTGCCAACTAATCTTGGTTTTTCGTTTTTTATTTCATATAAATTTGCATTTTAAATATTTATATCTTAAATAGAATACTTAATAAAATATATCTTATGAGATGAGTAAAAATAGTATTATTTGTTACATTCTCAATTAAAGTACTAAGAATTTGATCTATTATCCTTTTTTATTTTCCAAAAATTATAGTGTGTTAAAAAAAATACTTAATAAAATTTTTTTAAAGCATATATCTAACAAATAACTTGATGTTAGGCAATGTAATAAAGAGACAATTCTAGTTTAGGAAAAAAGTTCAAATAGAGCTCTAATAAGTTAAAACTTTATCTTTATTTTATTTTTAAAGAGAAAAATGAAAGAGAACTTCTATTGTATATGGTTTAAAAAATAATTTTTTTGTTAAACAAGTAATTATTTCTCTAAAAAACTAATAGAAAATAGCTAAAACCAACGTGTCATTTTTTCATTTTCTATTCAAGATTGACAGTAATAGGTAGCCTTTTTTATCTACTAGTTTGGTTTCCTCCATCATTGTACCCATGTTAGGCAGTTTTCTCCATTTCTTGTTAAATCCCAATTTTGGGATTGCTTTTTTTAGCTGTGGACTTCAAGCAATGAAGAAAAACACAGCGTTGAAATTTGAAATTTGAAGCTTCCTAATTGTACAACAAACTGTCTACTTAAAATGAAATTTGAAATTTGAAGCTTACTAATTGTACAACAAACTGTGTACTTAAAATAAAATTTGGAAATTCTCCATCTACCATAAGAACTTGAACAATACGTGCAGATACTGTCATCCATAAAAACACAAAAGTTGAAGTAACCTAGTGTCCTACATTTGATGGGA